TATCTATTCATTTCATTTCATTTACATTATTTTATTTTACTTTATTTATTTATTTACTCATTTATTTATTTATTTATTTATTTATATTATTTATTTATTTATTTATTTATATTATTTTTATTTATTTTATTTTTATTTATTTATTTATTTATAAATTTATATAAATAAAGAGACCTTATCGATCCTATCTCTTGCATCTTTTGCTCTTTGTTTGAGTCTCTCTTTCACATCATTCTCTTTATTATTTTTTTTTTCTTTTTTATTTAATTTTTTTTCTGTTTCTTCTTCTTTTTCTTTTTCTTCTTTTTCTTCTTCTTCATCGTCGTCAAAGAAAAAAGAATATCCATTTGTCTTTATATTACCAGCAGAGGGGGCCCCCCTGGGGGCCCCTTCTCCTGCTGCTGCTGTCTCCTCCTCCTGCTGCAGCTCCTGCTGCAGCTCCTGCTGCAGCTCCTGCTGCTGCTGCTCTTTTTGAGTGTGTATATATGTAGGGGTAGGAAGAAACAGCAAGCTGTCTATACACCCCAAAGAGAAAACAGATGTAAATAGTAATAATAATAATAAAATAAAAAATAAATAAATAAATTATTTATTTTATTTATAAACAAAATACAATTAACATCATTACACTCTGTGTGTGTCAGCTGTTGCAGTGGTTCCTGCTGCTGCTGCTGCTGCTGCTGCTGCTGCTGCTGCTGCTGCTGCAGTTGTTTGTTGTTTTCTTTTTTTCTCTGTTTATAAATAAAACACCAATGAAGAAATAAACTCAAGGCTGTTCTTTGCAGCCATAAAAAAAAAAAATAAAAACAACAGAGCCGGGGATCGACCCCACAACACGATCCCAGCTAAGGGAGCGGTCAAGGGTGAGCGATAGGCCCCACATATATCTAGCTGTTGCAGCCACCCCCCGGCACACACACATATTGAGAGAAATAAATAAAAAATTAAAATAAAAATGAGTTTAATGAGTTTAAAATATCTTAATTATATGGATAAATAAAAGAAATACAGATGTTTTCTTTGTATCGTTTGGGGTGTATGTACACCTGCTGCTGCTGCTGCTGCTGGCAGGTGTACATACACCCCAAACAAGCGGCTCATAATACCTTAAAAAATGCATAAAAGATCAATTAAATTAATTTTTTGAGTTTAGTTTATTTTATTTATTTAAATAAATTATATTTTAGTGAATATAAAACAATTTTTGGGGGCCTTCTGCATGGACCGGTCG